AAATAATAAAGTCCTTAAACTTTAACTTCTTTTTTTTTAGTTTAACTGTCAAACGTGTTTAGGTCAGTTTACGCTCACCTTGACTAATTCCCTTCTCGATTCGGTCAAAGACAAATCATCTACACTAGAACTAAGGTATTCATGAAAAATAAATCCATCATGCCCTGACTCTAAGGGGTTGTTAAATTTTAAATTCAAGACGTCTGAGTTTACAAATCAACCCGTCTCTATTATCAATTGAAGTACCCCTTAAAGGGGTTCAAACTTTAACTTTTTCTTCAATTAGTTGAAGAACTAAAAAAAATTAAGATTCAAGAGTGTAAATTAATGCTTAAAACTAAATATTTTAAACATTTAATGAATTAAACTCGTTTGATAAATTAAAACTCATACTATTTAATATTTTAAACACTTTTTAAAAATAAGCTAAAACTTTAAATAACAAACCACCTACTTATCACTTAATTCCAAAAATATTAGTCAGTAGAGGTTTTGTAAATTATCTATAATGGATAAATATATCATTAATGCATTTTACGCTCTTAAATTTTAAATATCTATCATCCACAATCACCACCATTGTCTCGCTGCCATCGCCACTATCATAACCACTACCATCTTCGCCACCATAACCATCATTATGCTACCACCACCATCATCTTTGCGCTACCACCAACACTGCCTCCACCAACAACGCCATTGTGATGGTGGTGGTATGAATAAGAAAGTTGCGGTTAGGTAATTAAAAAGAATGACAAAATTAAAATAATAATAATTTTTAGATTTCAATTTTTTATATTTATCAAAGAATTTGATTCAATTCACTATTTAAATTTTAGTGGTTACCGAACAGGCTGCGAATTAAAAAATTTAGCATTCAATTTTTAGTATTTAGGTTTCAATTTTATAAAACACCACTTTATGATACATCCAAAAAATAAATCCAAGGTTTCATACTTGTGCAACGCATGTAGAGATACACCACAGAATGACAATATTGGACGTAACGGTTACACCATATCAACAATATTAAAAGACGTAATCGTCCACTAATAAGTGAACAAATAAACAAGTAAATCTCACAAAATTAAGAAATCACTCATCTATGTAATATGTAACTACCTCCATGTAAGACAATGAAGTTCACTTTATTTGTTTTTTAATTTTCTTATTGAACGGTTTATACCATCTAACAATATTAATATGGTGTAATCTTTACAGCCAATATTTTCTCAAGTAAGAGAGACATGTGTGTCAAATGAAGACAAGATTGAGTGCATTTTCTCTCTCTACCATCGTCATAGAATCAACTAAATTTGTATTAGCTTAATTTAAAATCATACAATGACACTTTTTAAGTTAAAATAAGGGTAAGGAGAGATTTTTATTTTTAATTGATATTAAATTGGGTATGCTAACGTAATATCAAAAAGTCAAGTTTTAGACTAGATTTTCGTTTTTATTTATATTTAGGATATAAAACATGGACATTCCCCGAGTGTTGGAAATATTACATGGATACCCCCCGACATTTTACAAATAACATGGAGACCTCCTCCGCCTCTCTTCCGTCAGTATTGTTAACGAAAAGTGATAATTTCATCTCAAAAAAAATTATTATTTTTATAATTGTCTTTCTCTAAATTTAGTACCCAAAAAAAATTAAATTAAATTAAAATTTTAATAAAATCAAACAAAATTTGATTTAATACCCAAAAAATTGATATAATTTAGTATTCCAAAAAATTGATTAAATAAATTTTAATATTAATTTGATAACAATAAAAATTGATTTGAAATTAATTCAGCAAAGTTGAATATTAATTTGATAAAATTAAATATTATTATATAATGTAAAGTTCATTTCGTGTTGAATATTATTAGTTATTGATCAAATCAACACGAAATTTAAATGTCATATTACCAATAGTTAAATTTCTTTATCCTTAAAAAATTTAAAGGTCATATTCTTTCATCTTTTAAATTTTGGTTTGTCCTCTTTTAACATTGAGCTTCTTCATCGGTGTTTTGTATCGAATCAAATTTTTTTACTCATGTTTCTACTTAGATTTGGTAAAGAGTTTGGGTAAAAGTTTAAGTCTCCACCAGAGGACTGGTCCTTGTCGTATAATTAGTCTGGGCCAATTCATGGACCAATGCTCCTTCATCACTACCCTTGACAACTAATGCATGAAAGCAGAATAATTAGATTTCTTTTTCTTTTCTTTCTTTTTAAGCTGAATCTCTTATGTTACTTATAGATAGAGAAAGAAAGGCTGAGAGATGGCATAAGCTGCTCAAGCAACACACGGTATTGAAAGTCATTTTATCTTATCGTGAGTCTCAATTTTATTGAGGGGCTCCAACGTGCAACAAAATTTTCAAGATTTAGGAGTGCAATAAACTAGCCCATTGAAAGTATGTAAGGCTTGTTTGATATGTTTTTTGGGAAGGGTTTGAATTGGTTTGTCTAAACCGGGGTTTGATCCAAAGATGAGATTCAAAGATGGAATTCAACATTTAATACAGTCCATAGTCATGTTTGGTATATGCAAGGATATATGACTATTATGATAATATATTTATATATAAATAATTATTATGCCCCTTAATCAATTTAATCCAAACATAGGTATGGATATTTGGAGGGTATAAATGTCATTTGAATGTGAAACCCCCAAACCAACATATGAAACCCATCTCCCATGGATTTCATGACCAAACTATGATCGGACCAGATTTCAAAATCTAGGTTAAATGCATAGTTATCAAACATGAGTTTGAGGGAGTTTAGTCCCCGACCCATGTCCAAAACCCACATATCAAACAGCCTTTTAGTCACGAGAAATCGACACAGAGCCCAGGGCAATAGCCTAGATACACAACCCTCAAGCCCAAAATGGAGACTGCAAAGCATAGTAGTATAGATCACTGGATGCTTGAGTTGTTTCCAAGCCAGTCACATTTTGAAGTCAAGGTAACACTTTGCACCCTTTATTGCACAAATACCAGTTATCTATATAGGATATGAACCCTAAAAAAAAAAAAAAGGCCAGGACTAATTAGTTTTCGATATGAACTTAAAAACAACACAGCCCATTCGACCCAAATTACAAACAGATTGGGGCTAATGTTTCATTTGAGGAAATTAATTTGGGTATGACAACTCTAATAATTAGTATTTTATAAGAAAAAATATCTATTTTTATTATTTGCTCAAGTTTTGTCTTAATTCTTGGAGAACTAAATGATTTTTTTATTCTGTTTTAATAGCACAACGATCACATGAGTTTTTAGTTAATAATAATTGATGGGTCAAACCCAAGGACCCAACTCCAATAGGTTCAACTAGCTAATCTCAAAGGAGTCTGCACCCGATCAAGTTTATTAGGTTCCATGAGTTAAATCAGTAGAGGAGCATGCAAGGTCATCCAATAGCCTCCTCCTCTACCACCTTAGAATAAGGCTCATCATAGCTACATTAGAGTAAGAATGCTCATCCTAGCCATCTTGGAGTCAGGCTCATCAGGAAGCTACGCCACATCATCAAGAGAGCATCAAGAGCCTTATCCTCTTCCCCTTGGAAATAGTCAACATTCACGTCATCATTTGACCGAATTTCATGGAGAGCAAGGAAAAGTCGTGAGCTCCACCAGAATAGTTATGTAGTTACTAATATCTCGCCCAAATTTGTTAGGAGGGCGACTATAAATTGCACGCGCTCACCAACACCTGAGGGGCATCGCACTTTACTTGACCACGACTCTCTCTTCTCCCTCAAAGCTTGTACTCTCTACTCCTCACACCCTTGAGCTAATAAAAGCACCCGACGACCAAAGTGATTCAAGAGTAGACGTAGGTCACGTTGACCGAACCATTATAAATCTTGTCTCCTCCAATTATCTCTTTACTTTTACTGCATTTATTATTTACACTTAACAGGTGGTGTGCAAAGACATTTTGTGCATCATCAATAATCCTATGGATGATGGATAAAATAAAGAGATCATAGACTCAAAAATTTTAGTTTAGGAGCCATACGTGTCGATTTAAACAAGTCACAATTAGAATAAATACATTAGATTAATATTAGAACATCAACCATAATCTATATTATTAGGGGTGTCAATCGTGTCGCATCGTATCAGTTTCTTGTCGTGTCACTTTCGGTCGTGTTATTTTCGTGTCGTATCACTTTCGGTACGTGTCGAGTTCGTATCAATATTCGTGTCAATAAAAAATTATTTAATTTGACAACAACTAATATAATATTATTTAAAAAATTATAAAAAATTATAAAATTCTTATTTTCTATCTAAAATACTAATTAAATATTTTTTTTTCTATTTACAGTACTCATTAATCGTGTTATTCGTGTCGAACCTTAATTTGACTCATTTATTACTCGTGTCAACGAATCGTATTTTTTTCGGATTCGGTTCGAGTCGGGTTTGTGTTTGAGTCAAAAATTGACACCCCTATATACTACTTCTAAAAGTGCCTTAACATGAAAAACATTTACTTTTCTTTTTTACCCTTCATAAACTCAAAAAAGACATTTGTATTAGCCTTGTTCAGATTTCTAACTAACGAGCCTCATTCAATTAGGAATGTAATTACAAATTTATCATTGATATTCTATGCTTCACTGATACTGTAAGGACATTTTTATCCTTGATCTAACGGCTAACTCTACGGACATTTAAGTTTAAAATACTAAAAATTTTGGAATAATACTTTAAGTGGAAACCCTTTCATATGCCAAGAAACTGTAACGTGTTTCATTTAAATGGCTTTAATGAGCCAACCTTCCAGAGTTCAAGGAGTAACGGATCAAAGGCTTTAAGCGGCAACCTTTTCATGTGCCAAGGAGCATTCAAGGTTCGAAGGATCAAGGGTTAAGAAGCAAAAGAGATTTTGAGTTGACAATGAAGATGATCTGCTCCAAGCCTCCAATGCTTTCTTATATACTAGCTATTTTAGTAACTTTGAGGTTGGAGATGGATGATGAGTCTGTAAAGCTTATCATGAGAACAAACCCAGCCAGGTATTATTCTACCATGTTTTCAAATTAAAGTTAATGTTCCAGTATTGTTTTGCACTTTTGGTGAGATTATACATGTTCATAATTTAGATCCTTGTCCTCTAAACGATAGTTTCAATTTCTTCATTCAACTACTAAATCGTTAGCTAGATAGTTTAGCATCATAGCAAGATATTCTTATTTCCAGATTCTAATAATTGATGTTTTATGTTATATATGTTTGTGTATTGATATTTCTTTGTTTTGTTAATGAATGTGTTTTATTGCAGTATGTGCTTTGTTAGAAGTTTTAATACGCTTGTCTTGTCTTGTTGGGTAGTTTTAGTATATTTTATCAATAGGATTATGTGAAGCGTATGCATTAAAGTGGTCGAATTCCAGTACAACTATTAAAAATACTTTTATTTAATGTTCTTATGTGCCTTGTATTCAATTGAAGAGGAAAAATCATTATTCGATTGAAGAGGAAAAACCATTATTTCAGGATGGACACCATTGTTCTCTTTTTTTCGAATTTCCTTTTCCTAACTCCATGTATAAGAAGCTAGGCACCTAATTTTCAATTTATAGTTCTTGGTAAGAAATAACTATTAGTGAAAATATAAATTTATTCTGTGAGTTTAATAATTTCGATATGGGCTAAATAAAACTTACATCAGTAATAAAGAAGGCTCAAGTGTGCTCCATGTAAACTTTTTGGGTTGCTCCTCTTCTTTGTATCACGATTGGGTCATTGGATCTTTATTACAGTGGTTCATAGTTGTTGAGTGTGAGTTTTATGTATAGTCCAAGTTATTTCATCAACTTGACAAGTCTTTTCTTTTATCTTGTCTTCCTCTCAAACTTTTGAGTTTTGTTGCCCCACCATGACTACTAAGTTCGGTCTTATGTATTGTACAAAAAATCAACATTGGAGAGTATTACCCAAATAATTCATTTTGTGTTGTCTTTTTTGTACTTAAAATTCAAGATTATAGACTAAAATTGTCCACGTACAACGTACGTGTGCAACAACTAGTTAATTAAATAAGTCAAGTTAATAATAATTGTTACTAGAAGAAATTTAGATGAGATAATTAACAACTAGAGGTGGTAAATAGGTAGATTGAGTTGGTTATGGACTAGTTTAAAATAGGTTGGTGTAAAACAAATCTAATTAATTTACGAGTTATAATGAGTTAGATTATAACAGGTTGAGTTAAATTTATTTACTTATAAAATAATTAAAATTCTTAATATAAATACACACTATTATATAAAAAATACACACATATATTATCACACAAAAACATATTTAATAAAATACAAAAATACACACATGCATATATTATTTACCAAAATATACACACAGAGAGTCGGGTTGGGTCCGGGGGACGGGTCGGATTGAGGTTTTTCTTTGCTAATTGCATGTTGGGAAAAAATATAAAAAAAATTGTGCCACATATCTAGCCATTCCAAGTACAATCTTTTGACCCAAGTGGCTCCCACACAATACATGGGTCCCATTTTAACGCACCATCCGCCTTAACATGCTCAAGTAACCAAAGACATCGGTCCATAATTCATGGTCAAAAATCTTTACATTCCAATAACAAAAAAGCTTCAGAGTACAACAATCATTCTTAATCGGATGAATCCCATGATTAAAAACCCTTTCTTACACCCATAACCCTCGCCCATCTTTTCATGATAACATCAAACAATTCACAAACATGCCAATACCCTGATTACCCACATCCACAATCCTTCCCAAAATCTAACACCCTCAAAAACTAGGTTTTTAACGCATCATTCAAAGCACCCTTCTCTCTTACTCTCCTATATATATATGTAACCATACCCAAATAACTCTCACACTCTTTACTTTTATACTCTGTTTGTCTCTACAATGGTGAAAATAGTGCTGCTCTTCTGCATTTTCTTCACAGTTTCTTTCATTTCTATACACTCTCGAAGCTTAGAACAGAACCCAAAAACTACAGTCCTTGATGTCTCAGCTTCGATCCAGAAAACAATTGATCTACTCTCATTTGAACCCCAATCCATAGAACAAACACTGAACCCACAAGAACAGAGCTTCACGTCTTCATCTTCACTCAATCTCCAGCTACATTCTCGATCCTCACTTCACAAAGCTTCACACGGAGACTACCAGTCACTGACTTTAGCTCGACTCGAGCGTGACTCTGCCCGAGTGAAGTCGCTTCAGACTCGGTTAGATCTGGCTATTCATGGCATTGTTAAGTCAGATCTGGAACCAGTGGAGACTGAGTTCGAAGCTGAGGAGTTGGAAGGACCGGTGATTTCGGGAACGAGTCAAGGAAGCGGTGAGTACTTCTCCCGAATCGGAATCGGTCGCCCACCGAGTCAAGTTTACATGGTTCTCGACACCGGTAGTGATGTCAACTGGGTGCAATGCGCACCCTGCGCCGATTGTTACCAGCAAGCCGATCCAATCTTTGAGCCGGCTTCGTCGTCTTCGTATTCGCTTCTCACTTGCGATACTCATCAATGCAAATCGCTTGACGTGTCGGAATGCAGAAACGACACGTGCCTCTACGAAGTCTCCTACGGCGATGGATCGTACACTGTCGGCGATTTTGCAACGGAGACTATAACTTTTTCCGGCTCGGCTTCTGTTAACAACGTAGCCATAGGCTGTGGACACAATAACGAAGGCTTATTCGTCGGAGCCGCCGGCTTAATCGGACTGGGCGGCGGTCCACTTTCGTTTCCTTCCCAAATCAACGCCACGTCATTCTCTTACTGCCTCGTAGACCGTGACTCCGACTCAGCCTCAACTCTCGACTTCGACTCAGAAACCCCTCGTAACGCCGTCACCGCTCCGTTACTCCGTAACCAGAAGCTTGACACATTTTACTATCTCGACTTAACGGGACTCAGTGTGGGCGGTGAATCACTGTCACTTCCTCCGTCAAGTTTTCAACTGAACGATAACGGTGACGGCGGAGTTATTATTGACTCAGGAACGGCGGTGACTCGGTTACAGACAAACGTTTACAACTCGCTCCGTGACGCTTTCGTTAAAGGAACGAAGGGATTGCCGTCAACTAACGGTATGGCATTGTTCGACACGTGTTATAATCTGTCGTCGAGGAAGAGTGTTGAGGTTCCAACGGTGTCGTTTCACTTTTCGGACGGGAAGGAATTGTCGTTACCGGCGAAGAATTACCTGATACCGGTTGATTCGGTGGGGACGTTTTGCTTCGGGTTCGCTCCGACGTCTTCTTCTTTGTCGATTATTGGGAATGTGCAGCAACAGGGAACACGTGTTAGTTTCGACCTTGCAAGTTCTCTTATTGGTTTCTCACCCAATAAGTGCTAGGAAAAATAGTATAATTTTCTTTCCGTTATTACCATTGTCGAAGAGAAGATTTTACGCTTTTCTGGGTGGGTTGGTGGGACCGCCATCAATAAGTGTAAAGTGATGAGGTGGGGCCACCTTGTGGGTGTGTATTATTACTGCAATTTAGTGGTTTTTCATTTATTTATTTTGGTGAGTGAATTGAAGCTGTGAGTGTGTATTGATGGAAGAACGGTGGGAAGCTGTGGATGCTAATGTGACCCTTGTGACTTGTGAAGCATTACTTTCTCGTTGTTTACTTCCTAGCTGTTTATTTCTCCTATAATTACTCTGTTTTATCTTTTTAAATTTTTATATTACTAAAAAATTATCTACTATTAAGTTCAAATAATTTTTATTAAATGTGAAAAAAGATAATTAAAAACTTAAATTTGAAATAGTTTTAAAAAATAATGGGACTTATTACAAATGATAGAGGTTGTAATTAAATAAATCGAATGAAATGATTTTATTGGAATGAGATAATTAAATATTTTAAAAATATAAAAATTAAATATTTTGGGAGGAAAGGTTTCTCAATTCTTCTCATCAAAAAATATTTATTTTATATATAGAGATAAGAGGGTTTATATTCAATTGGACTGTTTTTTTTCTGAATATATTTATTTTATATATATATAATAGATAAATATTTTTCTTTTTACTGAATAATATTTTGGTATAGAACTTCCCAACTTTTAGTTTGGCATTCAAAATCTATAACTATAGTTGAGCTCCCCATAACTGCACGGCACCACGGTACGTGCATATTTTCTTTAAAAAATATAAACAAAACAAAAAATAGAGTAGCGGAATAAAACTTGCTTCAAGAAAGTCAAAAAGTTTTATTGGTTCAATTCGAGAAAAATCTAATCTCTAAAATTTTCATAAAAAATTCAATATTAAACATACTCATTTTATTGATCGAAGGACTTTTAAATGTAAAATAATAAAAATTACATTAATAACTAATATAATTTATGGCTTCTCTATCACTAATACACTCACTATACATAAAATACTCTAGTCACTAACACACTGCTAATAACTTTCTAACAACCACCTCTTATATCAAATAAAAATATATTAAAAATATGTGCATAACATATCTCGACGAGAGTCAAATAAGTGATGGTGAAAATTAATTGAGTGACGAGATGGATGATTAATAGATAACCGAGAGCTTGATTGTACAATAAAATACTTTTAATGTCATAAATAATGCGTTTACCATGTAATGCTCTCGAGTTATAAATACTCACATGACCAGTTAAAAAAATTGTGTTTAGCCTCATATTTTTAAAGGGTTGGAATTAATCTTCTTCTTTTTTATTTTTTATCTTTTTTTCTTTGTGTTTTAGACTTTTATGGTTAATAATATATATATATATATAAATGAAATCTATTTTCCCTTATTTTTTATATATTATTAGTTAATTGATTAGTGATAGTTGCAACGAATATTTTTTCTATATCGTCCTTACCACAAATAGCCGTTGAGTTTCAGTTTCAGTTTTTCCACTCCTTTTCACTCTGTTCATGTCCCACTCTAAACCCTAACAAACCTCTTGACCCTGGAACTTCTCTCTCTCTCTCTCTCATGCAACTGATGCCAATTTTCTTTCCAAACCAATCCTAACCATCCGATCAATCACAATCACACCATGAGCGATTCTCGTAGCGTCTCTTGCTCCGATGACTCTGTCTCTGTTGCCACTGCTCAACCGGTAATCTGAAATCTATCTCTTCTGATCACTTCGACTTAATCATCACTGTATGCTTATTTATGTGTTATATACATTATCTATGCTAATTTTATACAAAAAGATGGATATATTGAAAGTGTTCTAATTTTAACAGCGTTTGTGTTGATTTGTGTAGAATATTAGCACTTATGTATTGGTAAACATAAACAATTGCTTTCTTCGTTCTCTTCAATTCATTTAATTATCAACAAAAACATTCAATTGTCTCATGCTTAAATCATAATATGTACACACACACATTTACATGTATGTATCTATATTTCATACATATGCATGTCAGAAAACATTGTGAATGAAACTGTCTTTTCAATTGAATTCGTGGATGGTACCCTTATGCTTTGTTTGATAAGGAAGGAAAATAAAAAAAATGAAAAAATTGATGGATTAACCTTTCTTCCAACTCATCAAAATCTATCCTTTTAAATTTGGGAAGGAAAATGGACAAATGTTAATTATATCTACCTTTATATCCTATAATATATACATATATCTTATAATTACATATTAGGGTTAATAACACTTTTAGTTCCTAAAGTATCAATTTTGTCAATTTGGTCATAAAATATTCAATTCGTATCACTTTAGTCCCTAATCAGCAATTTGTTAAGTTTTTAGACAGAAGTGACCATGTGTAAGGATAAAAAATGTTATTAACCCTACATATTATGTACAAATTGATTGTATATATAGATACAATGGTAAAATATACAGTTATATTTTTTTATCCTACCAAACACCAAAAAAAATCAATTTTTCTTACTTTTCATCCTATCTACCAAACACATAGGAGGGAATTAAGTATTCATCTCTCTCTTGAAGGATAGAAAGTGTGAGAACAATAGCCTGACAAATGATTTGGTCCGATTCAGGTGCCCATTTAGGTATCATTTACACTTTTCATTTTTTCATTGTTTTCATCTACCCTACCAAACATACCTTTAGTATACATACATAATTACGATCTCTAATCACTTATGCTAATCCATCATCTATTGACTTTAAATTTAATCATGTTATTTTAATTATAACACAAGAATCCACCACCTTACATATACTTTTTGATTATTTATTCAGAATTTAACATATATAAACATATACACGTATTCATATATATGGACACATGCTTTATTACAACTTTCTGAATCTAATTGCCTCAGTGTTGAATTGTAGAAACTAGAAAGTTAGACTCACTCTTTTAGTCTTCTGATATACAAAACAATGAAAAATAAAACTACTCAGTCACTTAAATTTCACCCATTAGCAATCAAAAGTATTTTCATGTATCTAATTGGCATGTGTATTAAACTGTAGAATGTTTGGCGGAGTTGTAGAAGTGGAAACGGTTGTAATTCGCTGGCTTCGGGGTTGGCTCCAGAGGCTTCACGCCATTGGCAGGACCTGTTCTGGTTAGGTGTATTTGTGTTGCATTTGGTTGGGTTAGGTCTTATTCTAGGGGTACTTGGTATTAATAGGTTTAGGAAAAAGGATAGGCTTAATATTGATAAGTACACAATGAGATTTCTTGAGAATCAAGCGGGATTAACAGAGGACTTTTGGCCATTGTACGCCGTTGCTGGTGGAGTAGGGACGCTTCTCGGGTGGACTTGGTTGTTGTTGCTTGGTTCGAAAGCGAATCAGTTACTAAAGGTTTCGGTGCATATATTAACCACTTATCTTGCTGTGATCAGTGTGCTTTGCTTTTGGGGCAAGCAGTTCTTCTGGGGTGTTGCATTTGCCATTGGTGCTGCTTTGCAGTTCTTGTACGTCATATCGATCATAGACAGGTAATATTATTGAACTCTCCGATTTCACATTGGTGTTTCTGGTGACGGTTGAAGTGACCATGCCATAAAGGATGTACTGTCAGAGATTTACTGATTTATACATGCAAAGAGAATAGAAAGATCAATTTCGAAGGAATGAAACATTTGCGTTATTGTTTAACGCGACTCTACCATTATTCTGCAATTTTACACATTCATAGAATGCATCTACATTACAATATCGCCCTTTGATTTAAATTTACTACAGAATTTAACAACAGGGTCAATCTCCTCCCCCCCCCAAAAAAAAAAAAAAAAAAGATATCTCTTCTAGGTTTAAATTTATAAAGAGTTGAAAAATGGGTTCGTCTCCCCTATCTTTTACAATATCTTCAAGTGTTTACTCATGTATTATGTATTTTCTGGAACAATCACAGTATTTGTGATGTTAATGAATTACCGCAAAGTGAACATCTATTGTTATTTGTTAATCAAGTGCCTGTTGTTTTCCCTGCATATGTTATTTTTCTACAGACTTCCATTTACCATGCTAGTGGTGCAAAAGTCAATGAAAATGGTTTGGAGCCTTCCTGAAGTTATGAGAGTAGCATGTGCATCCATGGTAGTCATGCTTTTATGGCTAGCCTTATGGTCCTTTGGAGCAGCTGGTGTTGTAGCATCTAGCCTGGGTGATGGTGGACGCTGGTGGCTTCTGGCGGTGAGCTGGAACGTTTTTCTGTTCTGTCCTTTTTTGTCAGAATTAGTAAGCAATCAGGCCCTGTCATAATGTTGTTGAGACAATGGTTTCAGGTGTTCTGTGTAAGTTTGTTTTGGACGGGCGCAGTGCTCTGTAATACTGTTCATGTTATAGTGTCTGGAATGGTGTTTCTTGTACTCATGCATGGTGGTCAAGAAGCAGGATCAATGCCTCCCAACCCGCTGATGAAGTCTCTCCGGTATGCTGTGACAACTTCTTTTGGCAGCATATGCTATGGATCACTCTTTACAGCTGCTATTCGGACAGTACGGTGGAAGGTATGTTCGCTTTGCTCTCGACTGGTCCACAAATATTATAGTTACTTTTGGATGGTGTTCATAGGTCTTGTAGTAATAAATGTCTGATTGATAACACAACTCAATCTAATATGTTTCAGATAAGAGGATTCAGGTCAAAGATTGGCAGCAACGAGTGTTTGCTATGCTGTGTTGATTTCCTTTTTAATCTGGTGGAGACTCTTGTTCGGTTTTTTAACAAATATGCCTATGTCCAGGTAGTTCTTTACCCTTTTTGTGGTAATTTTTTCACCCGTACCAGTTTTGTTGAGATTTTTTTGAGATTCTGATGACCTTTCACTTTTGATGATAATTAGTAATATATTTTTTACAATCTAAGGGTAGTAATTATTTACACGCTATGCGTTCTCTTTACAACATTGTTGGCTCATAATGGCTTTGAGTTGAGAATGCTGTACACAAAATTGATATGTGCCCAATAGTGCTTACAAATGCTATCGTGGAACGTGCATTCTGCTGATTACTTCACAAGTGAACATGGGGAAAAGGGTTTTTTTTTGGGGGAGGGGGGGATTGGAGAATTACCACTGCTAATATGAATGTTTGAGAATTGCCTATATTCTTTAGACAAACTTTTAAGAGATGGATTCTTTTTCCCTATCAGTATATGTTCCATCGAATATGAAGATTTCATTTCAAGGCTTTCTTTCTTCACAGGAATTTGATGCTTCAATTGCTTGCTTTGAGCATACAGACTGTATAAAGTACGCTGAATTATTTTTTTTAAAAAAAATAGTAGCCATAACTTTTTGTACAGCATTTGAAATTTTAGGTTTCGACAAAGTGATGGTTCTCAAAAAATAGTGTGGCATGAATGCTTCTTATTAAAATGAACATATTACATATTTGTTTCTATGGTTTAGATTTGACTTAAAAGATGTGTAGAAGATTGGTCCACAGTATTCAATAGTACTTAAAGGGAAAATTTCTGAAAGAGATATGAAGATGAGCACCGAATTGGTTTTAAGAAAGGTACTAGACTAAAATGTTTTTGCAAAATGCTAGTTTGCTTTAATTTGATCTGAAAAGGATTTTTCTGATTCTTATTTGAAAAGAATAATGAGTAATCACAGGCTTCATTCTTTTCAAATATTTTAGCTTTATGTGCTACATAACGAATTCCATGTTTTACCATGGCCATTGGTTACAGAGATGAAGTCATGGGTGTTGCCACTGTTCTTGTCCAATGATCATGTGCATGTCACTGACATGGTGTGTGATAGACAGTGGGTATATTGATGAGCAGTCCTCTTATGCTGGTTGATTTTTGTGATTAAGTAGTGTTCATTTCTATTCTATATTAGTTATACAAATGGAATGAGATAGTTTGGAACCAATGTCCGTATTTTAGATGCAAAGTTTTTGTGTTGGTTTTATCAGTTTTGTTGAGGTGGTTTTCATGTTTTTAGACTTCTAAAGTTTTAACTAAAACAACTTTACTTTTTCCATCAAAAAATACCGATGATTTTCTTTCTTATACACGTCCTGAGTTTTCTTACTATAAATTTTGTCACTACTTTCAATGTTGGCATAAACATCCAGAATGATTCAAAACTTTTTGTGCCTTCAGATTGCTGTTCATGGCAAAAATTTTAATCACTCGGCTAGAGATGCCTGGGAATTATTCCAATCAACTG